GAGCTCCGCCGAGATAGTGGCGGTGGGCGAGGCGGAGCGGGACGTGACCACGCGCTTCGCCGAGTCGCTCCGGGCTGCTGGCATCGAGGTGCCCTCCATCGGGGTCGGCTCGACGCCCACCTGCAGCGTGCCTCCGCCGCACCTCGCTGGCGTGGACGAGTGGCACCCGGGCAACTTCTTGTACTACGACACCTCCCAGGCACACACGCTGCTCTCCCCGGCTCACCTCGGCTCTCCCCGGCTCACCTCGGCTCACCTCGGCTCTCCCCGGCTCACGTCGGCTCACGTCGGCTCACGTCGGCTCACTTCGGCTCTCCCGGCTCGCCCCGGCCCATGACTCGGCCCATGACTCGGCTCACCCCCCCCCCTTAGGTGGCACTCGGCTCGTGCGGGCTCGAGAGCGTCGCAGTGCGGGTGCCGAAGCGCGTCGTCGGCCAGTTTACTCCGAGAACGAGCCACCACCTTTCCGCTGGTTGCTCAACCAGGTGCTCACGCGCGTCGTCGGCCACTACCCAAAATCCAACACGCTGCTGATTGACTGCGGCTGGACCGGCGCGAGCGCGCAGGGCAAGGAGAGCGGCACGGCTGCGTGCCGCGATCTCGGGCAATCTCGGGTCATCTCGGGTGGTGATTGGCGAATAGGAGAGCGGGTACGGCTGCTTCCCGCTCAACCCGGAGCTGCGCATCGCCAACCTCAAGCAGGAGTGCGGCGAGGTGACCTCGGTCGACGGCGCGCCGCTCGACTTTCGCCGCTACCCGATCGGCGCGCTGCTGAGGATCGCGCCGCACCACTCGTGCGCGAGCACGCACCAGCACCGCAGCGTCAACGTGCTTGGCGCGGATGGTGACACCGTCGTCGAGGAGTGGAAGATCTGCAAGGGTTGGTGAGGAGCGCTGAGGGCGACGCAGACCTCGTAGTATTCAGAAGTTTCGCCTCTCACACTCTCTCACTCACACTCTCCCCACAGTGCACACACAGAGAAACAATGTCGCATAGCACTCGAGGCCGAACGATTTGTTGTTTACTGCATGACACGATATTTAATGGAAAGAGGCAAGCGTCACAAATACGAGTCGGTACTTACCCTACCCGCCCTTGTCCCGAATCCAGCCCTGCCATCATCCGCTTTCACTCTCGGAGATTCAGCGGTCCTTGTACGGCGTCAGCGTCCAGACGTCTGTCGCGATCCGCCACGCTGCGCTCCCTCGCGCCTGCTCCAGCCGAACGAGTATCCGCGCCCGCACGACCCGCCCGCCGTGCACGTGTCGTCTCAAAGAGGTGGTGGATGACACCCTCACCCTCCCTCTCCGCCCAGAGGGGAGTGAGTTTGACCGCCGCAGGAGTGGGCGAAGATGCCTCTGCGGCGGCAAAATCTGCAGCCGGCTCGAGCCGATCCGCAGAGGCGGTGATCACACGCCCGCCAGGCGTATAGAGCCGAGAGAGCGCGGCGGTCCCGTGAGCAGCGGTCCAGTCAGCGTCCACCTTGGCTGCAATCTCGAGAGGCGTGGGCAGAGCGGCGGCGCCGGCGGCGGCCGGGAAGATGGCAGCGACGGCGTAGAAGAAGGCAATGAAGCCGGCGATTGTCCCGAAGAATCGCGCATAGTCCAACGCGCCCATCGGCTCATCGTCGCCATTCCCTGCCATGTCGCGCTGCTCTGTGACAGCTTCCTCATCGGCGCTCGAGCATACGGCAAAGGTGCGAAGTCGGCATGCATCGGTAAATACACGTGGGTTTGCGATACTCCCACCGTGACTGAAGAGGGTGGGCCGCAACGAGCAGCTGAGCGTGCAGAGGACAAGAGCCATGTGCATGACTATGCCGGATAGGAGCAGAAAAGAAAACATACCGGCTGTTTTCTTTTGTGTCTTTCTTCCGTCTTTTTTTCTTTCTTTTTGACATTGGTATTGCTAAAAATTGTTGTTCTTTTTCCGTAGCTTGTTGTTTGTTGTTCTTTATTTTCTTTCGTTTACGTACTTTTAGCTTACTGCAGCTTACTGGAGAAAAGGGAGGTGGGTGACGTGCGCAGGATACGTTCTCTCGTGCCGGGATTACCGGGAGTTCTTCTCTTCTTTACGTCCGGCCCGGGGCGTGCGGTTAATGCCCGCACACTCCAAAGTCGAAAGTGCTCCAAGTGCGCCGGACATTGAGTAACACCATGAGAGCCGCCGAAGACCGCATACAAACACTGCAGCTCTCTCCGCGCCCACACGCCCACTCTGGGACACGTGGTCGTGGGACGAAAGTACAAAGGAAACATCTACGGTAATCCTACATATCGCTAGGCATATCGCTTCTGTCTCGCGTGCGGTGCCCAACATGCGAGTGCGGCTCACTCTCAAGCACACTCACGCCTGCACACGCCTGCTCTGCCTGTATCTCAACGTGGTGTTCGCTAGTGGCCGTAATCTCCCCATGCGCCGTCAGGGAAGCGCGACGCCACCGCCGTGTGCAGCTCGCGCGTCCAGTACGGGTGGCCCGGCGGCGGCACTCCCCGCCGAGTGATTCTGAGATCAGGTTAGTCGTTTCCCCTTTGGAGGCAGACATTTCAGAAAGCGAATCCCAGGCCGCATCTCCCCGCTCGAAGCGGGGAACCCGTCCCGGGCGCCCGCTGGAAGCGGGGGGGCGCCCGCTCGAAGCGGGGGCGCCCGCTCGAAGCGGGGGCGGCGCAGGCTGCCACCGCTGCCCGGGCGCGCCGAGCGGCGGCGGAGGGCCGCCCAGGCCACCACCAGTGCCTCTCCCACCGGCGGCGCGGCGGCAGTGGCGCCGACCGCCCCTCCATCAGCGGCGGCGCGAGGCTGTCGTCGGGACGCCGGCAGGTGACGCGCGAATAGGGTGCCACCGGACCGGCCGACGAGCACCCAGCGGAGCCGTCATCGTGCATGGCGAGCCGAGCACCGCCGCGTCGCTTCTCGGCGCATTGGAGAGCAGAGGAAGCTGCTGGCGTCGCGGCTGGGATCGGCAGCGGCGCCAGCAGCTTTCTCGGATCTGAAGCGACTTTGAGCGCCGATCGATCGATCTGAGGGCTGACCGATGGGCGGCGCTGGGAGGAAGACCGCGCCACCCGTCGGCCAGCCCTCAGCTCCGCGACGGCGACTCGATAGTCGTGGCCGGCGCTCGGCTGCCACTCTAAGCTGTGCCGCCAGGCGCTCCTGGAACCGTGACGTCACTTCTTATGGATGCGGCACTAGGGACGCCCAATGTTTTCGTAAATATAGAAGCCACTCTCTCGCGTGTGGAAGCCACGACTGCGTAGTCG